TATTATATACTTCTAACAAAAGAAAAAGAAATTCATATCTCACTAATCCTATTAAAAAAAAATAAAAAGAAATTATACAGTAACTCAGGACAATTAAAACATCTTCAATATAAATTTACTCAACAATCATTAATGAAATATGCTTACTGTTTGTAATCGTAGTTAAAGTAATCAATATAATTCAAATAAATTAAAGCTTCTTTTATATGAATTCATTCAACAAATGTTAATGAAAATATGCCTACAGTCTTACATTGTAGTTAAAGTAAAGAATTTAACTTAGATTAATAAGATACAAATTTACTCAACAAATATCAATGAAAATATTCTTACCATCTATAATAATAGTTAAAGTAAAGAAAATAACTCGGATCAGTTAAAACACCTTTAATATAAATTTACTTAACAGATATTAATAAATTATGCTTACAAGCTAAAAATAAAAAATATAACTCAGGTTAATTAAAACAATTTTTATAAGAATTTATTCAACAAATATTAACAAAAATATACTTACGTCCTAAAAGTAAACATAACTTAGATAAATTAAAAGAATTTGGATAAAGATTTTCGTCAAATATTAATAGAAATAACCAATTACCTAAAGACGCACTGATCATTCTCTGAATAAAAATCATTGCTTTATTCTAAAAATAGAATAAAAACGTTGATAATGAAAGAAAGAGATCCAAATGCTATGTGTAAGCAGATATTTTTTCCCAAAAATAAGGCGGCTCTCCTTACTTCCCTTATTAAACACACCGGCGTTTTGCGTTACCTGTGCAGCATTCCGTGCAGGATTAATAAAAATAAGAATGCAGCTTTGTCACGTGGTCCATATCGTGAAAATCTCCATAACAATAATGTGTCATACTTATTTTCGATTCTTGTAGAGACGGCTCTGGAATAAATAGTTCTTGGATCAACCGCTGCCCACCTTTTACACTCAAAGAATATTTACTAAGTTTCCCTTTACTATTTTGAATTATCTTTTTACTAATAATTTCTCTACGCTTTGAATCCATTTTCTTCCAATTATATGGTTTATAACAGAATTAAATTTATTAGACCTTTCATTATGTGAGATTTTCTGTTCATAAGCATCGTTAGAATTTACTGGAAAGTGCGAAACATCCGTAGAAATAATTTTTTTCTACTTGTCTAATATTGCGAGGCTAGTCTCAAAAGCATTATATTTTTTTGCTCTAGTTCCTTGACTCTAACATCGAATTTTACATTCTCCTCGATAATCTGTTTCAGCTTCACTTTTTCAGATTTGACCTCGGCAAATTTCTTTTCAAATTCGAGAATTTTGGCATTCTCCTTTCTAAGTCAATCTTAGATTGTATATTGTATTTTTTAAATAAAATACAAATATATTTAGCATGGATAAAAACGAGATAATATTCTCATCGGAATTACTAACTTATTGATGTAAAAATTAAGTGATAGTACAAGACTCAGTAATACATAAACTTGTCTACAAAGTGAAATGACGTTCTATACTAATGTCTAGCTTTTCGTTTGTTCGCAGTGATCGGCGAGTCTGTCGCTAATAAAAACCACGATTCGCGTAACAATAGGTAAGTATTTTATTAAGGGTGAGGCGGAATTGATAGTGGCCGAAAATTCTGTCTTTATTAATTTTCTTTTTCTTTCTCTTTTTATACATTTTTACACGTTGATTCCATAACAATAGTGACTAGTACTAATTAAGCTAAAACTACTTTCCCATTAAATCAATCCATAGTGCCATAATCTTTTTTCCGGCTTGCGCTAGTTCTCTATCACTCTGTTGTGTTTTGATACAGTTGGTTTCTGCAACAATATTGTGGAACCCAAAATTCAGTGTGGGCACGTTACTTTTTCTCGTGTTACACATTGTTCCACTCCATTACTCACTTTCATTGTCCCAATCATCAATATACTGGATAAAAACAAAATATATTATCAGCGCATAATCGTTAGTTTAGTATTTTGTTTAAAGCAATCACTGGAAGATTATATAAACATAAAACTGGACTTATATACAAAAATGAAAGGAAAGAAGGGAGTTAAATAGTCATCTGGCAGTCCTGTAACAAGGTATTTATTTAAATACTGCTTTAACTCTTGATTTATGCGTTTGCAGGTATACTACGGATACCATGGCATTTTGTTTTATGGAAAGTACCAAAATTGAATGTCATTATAGTTAAAGAAGAGGCAGAAATGAGCATTATAGAATTCAAGGATGCAACCTACGAGAAGAATAAGAATGATTTCAAAAATTTTGATGCCAACAAGTTGAACTCATGGAAGGTGGATATTCCTGGTGATGCAAAAAACGACAAATTTGTTAAACTAATAACACTTAAAAGCAGATCTCATAATGAAGATATTATTGTACAAAAGCTTGGAGGAGAAAAGTTGACTCCATTCGATTATTTTGGTGACATTTTAAGTATAGTAACTTGAAGAACATCAGAATCAACATGCAACCACCACTGCCTGCTATCGCTGGTAAGTGTCTCCCAATGGTTTACCTCTCGAGTAAGAAATTTGCGTTATCTCACTCACATTTTATTATTTTTATTTTTATTCAATTGAGAAAAAGAAAACACAAAAACTAGGACTTGGATAAAGAAAGCAAAACCAGAAAAAAGGAGAAACAAACACGTATGTAATATATTCTGTTGTGATAATTAATCGTGTTCTTATTCTAAAATTTTTTTTCATTTTTAGCTAAAACCTTGAATTCTTTTCATGTTTTGTCAATATTACAATCTCCTGCTGTAAAGATTCCTTCTTACAAGTTTTATGATCGTAATCAGACTCTAAATTCAATATTACAAGTTGCTCTCGATAGCTACCAGGATTGCAATCGTCCTGACCACAAGGATCATAGATTTATTTTAATTCCTGGAGGGACAGTAAAGGGAAAGACACGGATAGGCTGGGAATAAAAGTATTTTTCACCTATACTGTCAACAAGTAGTGACAATATCAAGTTTGTAAAAGCTCTAAAAGATTTCTGCTATGTCTTTATCAACTTGAATAATAGAAGTAAATGTATTAGAGATTTCAATGATATGGAAAATTCAAGTGTGCAAATAGGAACGTATGTTGTAGTTGCTTCAGGGTTGGTGCCTGAGTAGCATTATCTACATAATTTATTAGAAACAAACAATTCAATGCTTTTTGAATTTTCTAACATTATTTGTGAAATATTTAAATGTCATTTTAAAATGCAACAGCATTTAGCTAAGGCTATTATCATCCATCTTGACGAATATCAACTTTATATTAATAATATTCAACAATACAAACAACTACAGTATCAGACAAATTCTTGTGATTTTTTTAAATCAATACTAAGGGCAATTGTTAATGTCATTTGTGGTGATAATATAATAGAAAATACTTTATCATCCTAATATGTACAGGAACTTTTGTTATATACATTCATTTTTTACTTACAAAGTATACTCAAGAAATATTGAAACTCAAGCCTTTGAATAATATTTTAATAAAGTCAATGTTTTTGAAAAATATGATTATTCAAAGCAAACAACTGATAAAGACAGAAATCTAGTGGTGCGAGGTCTCAAGTCACATTACTCTTCTTATCTCAATAATGAGATATCAGTGGATTTTGTAACTTTGTTTTGAATCAACAATACATTCACATTGCTATATCTGATACTGGCTTCATTTAAATCCTTCTATCCTTAAGTCATATTTTGACTGGAGGAATCAACTCTTTATCAAAATATCTAGCCAGAATGTTGTTAAGGTTGGAAATAATCTAGGTGAAGAAAGAATTCAGGGAATATAAATAATGAAATTGAATAAAATAAATAAAAATGAGATATATTTTTTAATAATTATTGATTTCTATAATTAAAAAATCTGAAAAATTATCATGATCCAATTAATTATTAATAATTTTATAAAGCCACATCTATAATGCTTTTTGGTCTCAAAAATATTGATAGTATAATTATATGGTTATAATATCTTATAATATAATTTGGGTTTTGTCTAAAATTCATTATAATTAATAATATTAATTAAAATAGTATATTTTTTTGAGAATATAAAATCAAATATGATGAATTTATAAGTGTAAAAATCTATAAAAAAAACATAAATTGTTAGAAATTATTTATAATAAAATTATATCTTTAAATTTGTTTAAATATATAATAAAGCATTTGTAAAAATTTCCTTTAGATAATATATGAATATTGAAATTATAAAGTTTATATTATTTATTAATTTTTATAATTTTGTAAATATAATATGTGAATTTCAAAAATAATTATTAATTATTAACATTTTCTTAATAATTAATATAAAGAATAAGAATTTAATAATTTTTTTAAATAAGACCTGTGGGTCCATAGCACAGTGGTTAGTGCTCTACAGGTCAGATCACAAGATACCAGTTCAACTCCATGTAAAAGCAGTTGAACAGTATCACATGGTATCTGGCACCATAACCTAATATGTGCTGTTTCTCATGCGAAGCCATCTCCCACGCTGATTCAATGGGCGTTGAGATTGTGATCTCAGTTAAGGTGTCGTGACGCGTCGATCGTCCGGTTGGTGTTATGATGATCGCTCTATGTTTGGTGCATTTCCCAGTTTCCACAGGTCTCTTTCCTCCCCTATAGTCCACGAGACTATAAAAATAATCCTTCGTGAACAGGTTTCAATGGGTTCCCTGCTCATGTCGTATCCAATCACCCAACACTCTCCTGGCATGGCAGACTCCATGCAAAAAGACAAAAAGAGATTAACTTTAAGCCAATCTATCCCAATATGGAGCTTGTAGGTCTATCCCATTATGGTGTCCCACATGGGACTTAATAATATGGCCGAAGGGTAAGGCATCAGCCACAGGTGGTGAGAATCTAGGCAAAATCGTTAAGCCAAGTGCGTCTAGTGAGGACCTACAAGATTAAATCAGAATTCAAGCAAGGACACCAGTTCCACAGGTGGTGAAAACGGTAGTGTTGCGCTATGCTAGTGGCACGACTTGAGGATTGGTGATAACAGTAACTGGAATACTGGGATTAGTCTCTATAATAATATTTCATAACAATTTGCTCCCTGCAATAATGGACCAGCAGGTTTAGGCGGGTTTAAACTAGTGGTAGGATTCCCCCCCCTGCGAAAGTCC